TAGGCATCTGGGTACAGACTTCAGCCTCCAAGGTTACTGAGCGGGGTCCTGCAGGAGCCTCGGGCTGCTGAAAGAGATCACTGTTGTTCTGTGAAAGTGTAATAGGATTTGTAACAGCTGCCTCTTCCCCGGCCTGTCTCGATGCTTGTGTGACAGCAATGCTGAGCTGTATGCATCGCCACCCTGCAGGAATGAGCAAGTTAATTGCTCCGGGTTTGGTTCAGCAAGTTCTCCGGTTACAAGGTGCGTAGCCTGCTCCTGAATGCCGAAGGCTTGGGCATTCAAGCCAGCATCCTGCTGTTCCTGTTTGATTTCCTAGGTAAGGTTGGTGGTCGTTAATGCCAGGAAGGTTGTTGCAACCTGATCTCCCAGAAAGTCATCCTGAGCAGCAGAGCACCACCAGCATCCACGGCATCTCCTGCCCTACCCCAGGCTTGCTCAGGAGCCTGCTGCTGTCCTGAGCCAGGCAACGCTTGGTGCTCCAGTGGGTTCATGGAAATGTGGTAGAGCTGTGGGCAGTGACTCCTGCATTTGTTCCTCCTTCCAGTGAAAACCAGGCAGCGTGGCAGGAAAACCAGGCAATGGTGCCCTGCGAAAAGCACGAGGCCTGCAGCGCTGTCCTCTGCCCAGTGAGGCGGGATCCCTCTACCCACCCCTGTCCCTCTTGGACAAGTAATGAATTGCTAATTAGCTGCCTGGTGCAGTAATTATGGCCTCCCAGCTCTTGCTGCAGGCAAAGCAAATATCGATTGTGGGGTGGGCGCATGTGATGGGCTGGGTCGCCATGGAAACGGCAGCAGCTGCCTGGCGGGAGGACAGATCCTGCTGGTGCCTCCGCTGTCCCATCCCTTCCTGCGGTGGAAACCCCCGTGGGGCCCAGCGTGGCTGGGCCAGGCTGGGCGACTCCTGCAGAGGGGATGGGCTGGGTCAGCGTGTTCTCCGAACCCGCTGCATCCTCCTGCAGCCGCCATGCCAACAGGAGGATGCGGGGATGTGGCAGAGCCCGTGTCTGGGTGCTGGAGCGAAAACATCCATGCTCGCTTGCCTGTGTGTGCTCTGGCACTGCAGAGCCAGCTCTTACCTGGACTCTGGCACTGCAGAGCCAGCTCTTACCTGTGTGTGTAATTAGTGGAGGGAACTTCTCTAAAGATGTCTTTAACAGGAAAATGTTGACTTATGGAAACGTGGATTGTTTTCAGTGGGAGTACACTGGTCTCACCAGCTCTCTGGGTCAAACAGATCTTCCACACAAGCTCCCGCCTGGGAGCGGGAGCAAGGGGGGAGAAGTTCACTGCAGAATAAAACACCTGAGGAAAGGCCAGTCTTTCCGAGCATCCTCAGCATCTCCAGGTATGGAAAGTGAATTTAGTGAACTTGGCTGGACCCCCACCCCTGCCAATGCTGCTGCTGCCGCTGATCCTCCGTGGGTGCCCCTGCTCAGGAGCCTGAATGCTCCTGCCCGCGTGTGAGAGGCTTCTGCGCCTGGACCCCCAGCCCTGCCAATGCTGCTGCTGATCTTCCACGGGTGCCCCTGCTCAGGAGTCTGAATGCTCCTGCCCGGGTGTGAGAGGTGCTTCTGCGCCTGCTCGTGCTGCTGGGCCTGAACCAATATTTGCTAAAGCCAGACTTCCCCTGTTGCCAAGTATCTGTTGTGTAGTCAGTGTCTTGCAAAGGGCTTCGGAGAGGGGAGCAGCACTCTGCAAACTGTCTTAATGGTGCGGTATGGAGAGGGAGGAGACAGGACCCCCCTCACCCAGGGCTGCTGCACCCCGGATGCTGAAGCTCTCCAAGTGAAGCTGTGGCTTTTCAAATGAAGATGCTTCGGGACAGTTGTCGAGTGGCTGTCTCACTCTAAAGTGTACGGTTTAGGAAAGTGAATCCCTCCTCTTGGTGCCTAATCCTGACCTGTGACCAGCACTGGTGCCTTCCCTTCAGTCTGATGTCGATATTTCACAGGCCGTGAGGGAATCTGTATTTATACATAATACATATATTTATATGTATTATGAGGAGGATGAAGATGCTCCCTCCCACGCCCCATGGGTCCTGAGGCGGCAGCGGCTGCTGGGGGGGCTGCCCCGGGGGGCCGGGGGCTGCGAGAACTGCATGGGGCTGGCAGTTGCTATGGAAACCGCTGGGTCAGAGGCAGCGTGAAGCGGCGTGTGACGCCATCACTCACTGCAATGAGCCGCGCGTTGGTGTGGGGCTGGGGGGGGGGATGTAAGCACCCCACATCTCCCCTTCCCCCCCACCAAGGGCTGCCAGAACAAGGTGTCTGTCCCAGCTGGCCTTGGCCGTCACTAATGGCTCTGTTTCATCTTCCTGGGTCACCCGTACCAAGGCTGGATGCAGCAGCCTGCAGCACCATGGCCCTTGTGCTGCTGCTGGACAGCGTTGGACCCCCCCCGGCTCATCAACCCGTTAACCGGGCAGGCACAACCCACTGGTGCCCCTGCCGCAGCCCCCCACACCTCGAGCTGCTGCCAGCAATCCTCCTGTAATCCCTGGGTGGCTTTTCCAGCACCGAGTCGGGGTTATGCTGGATAATCCATATGTTTGCAAGGCGGAGGCTTTGGGATATCCACTGTTAATCCAATTGGCAGCGGCAGTTTGGTGCCATCATCACATTGCCCTCTTTCTGAGGGGACAGGGGCTGCCCCTGCCACTGCACCCTTGGCTGGGACGGCTCCGGCGATGGCACCGTGAGACTCAGTCCCTGCTCTGTGGCAGCTCCTGCGCGCTGTGGAGCAAAACCAGCCTCGACTCCATGGTGCTCTGGAGCTGCCGTAAACCCCTCCAAGCAGCCATGCCTCGGCCCGTCCGGCCCTGCCTGCTGGACAAGAGCGGCGTGGCGGCTCTCCTGCTGTGCTCCCTTGTGCTTCGGCTGCTTTTCCACCTCTTCTGCCCAACCCTGCCCGCTCTCCCTGCTGTCCCCATCCCTGCCTGTGGTGCTCCCCCGGGAAGGCTGTGCGTAGTGGGCGGCCGCTCCCCGGGGTGATTTACAAGCCGTGACAAATGGGAGCAGATGCTCCTCTGCGCTGGGGCCGGGTCGTGCGGGGTTTCGCCGCCACCATACAGCGACGGGTCTGGGGGAGGCGGTGGCACGGGAGGATGCCAAATGAGGTCTCTGAGTGTCTGCACCGCTGCTGCCGCCTTCGCTGCCGGGCCCCGCCCCTGGGTTGGCATCCTCCCCCCCGGGGCGC